ACGCACGCACGCACGCACGCACGCACGCACGCACGCACGCACGCACGCACGCACGCACGCACGCACGCACGCACGCACGCACGCACGCACGCACGCACGCACGCACGCACGCACGCACGCACGCACGCACGCACGCACGCACGCACGCACGCACGCACGCACGCACGCACGCACGCACGCACGCACGCACGCACGCACGCACGCACGCACGCACGCACGCACGCACGCACGCACGCACGCACGCACGCACACGCACACGCACACGCACACGCACACGCACCTGTTTGTTACGACGCTCTAGATTTGTTGTTTAGAAGAACGAACGATTGCAAATATATTGAGATGATCCTCGAAATTTGTTTCTCTGTCCCATCAGATGAAAAAAAGAAATTTGTCTCGATGATACGCCAGAGCAAAAGTACCGCACGCAGCAGAGCATTCTTCTGAGCTTTTTGCTACGCTACTGGCCGAATGTCGCTCATGAAACGGTATACAATTTTCGTGAATACATATAATAAATTATAGAAAAATGATATTCAAGCTATTTCGGTATCTGGGCAAGAGTCCCACTTTAGGCACGATATAATTTTTCTTTATTGGATATAGCGTATCGTTTCCTTAGTGGATAAACCATGGAGATAAAGCCAAAATTCTTTTGATATCAAGATACATCGCGGGGAGAAGAAAGGCGAGGGACGAAGGGGTACGTCCTTCGTGAAATTCTTCCTCACCCTTGTCTCGAGCTACCAAGGAAGCTGTATTAGCCGACGGTATCTTGATATCATCCGAGGAACTTGCCAACTCCTTTATACAGACATTTATTTTCTGGCATATCTGTTACGGCCAAGTGGCAGTCTCGCAGATTGTACTACTTTGCTTTGCCCAACCTACGTTCCCTGCGTCAACCGCTCCATTTCTTCTTCCAAAGAACTTGAACGACCGAAGAAAAACATAATCGTGCGTCATCCGTTACTGCTGCGCGATATAGTAATTACTTTTCAGATGAAACCTTATGAAAGTCGTCACTTTTCGAACTTGCAACTATTTTACGCAACGATTAAACAAATTACATCAGAGAAGAGAAACAGAATATTTATTATATCTCAAAACTTGGTTTTACTTGTTTTATTTGTAAACAATTGACCTTTTCAACTATTTTTTTTCCTTTTATTCGTAGTTAATCGCGCGATAATTGGGTTGTTCGGAAAGTAATTTCTTATTTTGTCCACCAGAATGATTACTTATAGATACTTTTAATCAGCCACTTTCGCTCCAAACCGTGTATGTTTATGTCTTTTTAGTAAATGTAGAAGAATGTATGATAAATGCAAAAATATATAAAATATCAGCAATAAACTACACTTTACACTCTCTAGGAAATAAAACGTGCTTTCATTTAAATTCAACTTCTTTATTTGAATCTGTGGATATACATTTACGTATATACATATATATATGGGGCATTCCACGCCAAACGGTTTCAAAAACTTTTTTTTTTATTTTCTTATTTCTTTGGTATTTTTTAGTACCCCTCAAAAGAGGCTTCTTGGTCAATTTTTAGATTTTTCGGATCACTGGTTCAAAAAACATCGTATTTTCAAATAAACCGCTCTTTTTTTGGTTTTTTTGCTCGTAACTTTCTTAATAATGGTCGAAATTCAACTTTTTTTTTCAAAATTTTTGTCATGAAATGGGTTTTACAGAAAAAATTTTTAAAAAATATTGAAAGTGTTTTTAATCGAGATTTTTAAATTTTAAGTTTTTAATTGTGTTTTTAGAACTGTGTGTACCCTTCGATTTTCTTGAAGATTTTCTATTTTAAACTTCTATCCATCCTGCAACTTTTAAGTCCTGTTCGGTAGTGGGCCTTCTATAATTACTATTCTTTCCTTATTTTTAAAAATTAAAAAAATTTTTTTCGCTATAAATTATTATCAGTACCGATTTTTGACACTGTATACTTTTTTTTTTACTTATTATAAATTGATTTCGATATTTGTTTGTTCTGAGTAGGGATTCAAAAGCAATAAGTAAAAGATAATTCTATTTATGAGCAATTATAACAAACATTTTTATTTATTTTCGTGTTCTTTTAAAAATTGTACATAAACGATTGTTTTTTGAACTAGAGCACTGCTTAGTTAATATAGCTCCGTCGCTTTTTGGAATAATTGTATGTAATTTTTGAATTCCCGTAATGGTCTTAGCTGTATTGTATCGCAAATCTCATCTTTCTTTTGCTTCTAAGTAGTCTATTTCAGGTGAAAATTTGGTAACAATATTCGGTAGACTTGTTGGTCTCGATGCCCAGTTATACAACTCTTGTACTGTTGTTATTTGGTCATCAATTGGCCGTTGAAGGCTTGCTCTCGCTGCTTTTCTTTTAACCGTTCCTCCAATACCATTACATGGCCCCTTACCATGTGCTGTTACGAAATAATGCCACTCAGTGTCTAAGTTGAAGTCCTCTTTGTGATAATAAATATTAACGAAATTCTTGAAGTTTTTAAATTGCTGCGGTGTTCCATCCGAAAAGTAAAAAACTTTAGCTGCATTGGGAACTAACTCTTTTATAAAATCGGTAACAATTTTCAGATATACATAAACAGCGACAGTGTCATGATTATTGTTGTCAGATATGATGACTAAACTTCGGTGAGTAAGTTCGCCGTTCTGCTTGAAATAGATTACAACAGGAAAAATCGTTGCTTGATTATTGTTCCAATGAAACCCTGGCCCTGCATCCTGTATCACAAAAGCGTAATTTTCTGCAAAATCGCAAACGGCTAAGAACTCATTATCCTGCAACGATTGTTTTGTTTGTTTCATAAAAGCCGATTGTTGTTTGGCAATAAAATCATGCGATAATAAATTGTGAATATGATTGGAGAATATTTCGACGAATTCTGAAGAGTTCTTCATAATTGTTTCAAGACTGCAACGAGGATTAGATACCCAATATTTATATGAGATATCATGTTGGCCATTTTCATCAAATGAGGTCTCTTAGACATTTTGAAGAACATCAATCTCGGGACAATGCTTACACTTTGATAAGTAACAATCAGATGATGGATTGGCACATAAGATAATTTTGAAGCAATCACTAAAGTGCATTAAAGGATCTGTTAGAAGACCAGTTAAAGCTGGTAAATTAGAACCTGTCAAAAAACAAAATGATTAAACTATACAATTTAAAAATATAATTTTACTTACCTAACATCATGAGTTTGACGTTTTGATGGATAGAACAAACACAAACAGTATGAGTGCCAACAGATCCGGCAAGTACACAATGCACAGGTCTTAATGATGCAAAGCTAGAAAATCCTATCAGTTCATTTGGATATTGTTCCTTGAAAGTTTGATACAATTCTTTTAAATTACATAAGATAAGTTTTTTCTGGATGTGCTCTCTTTGTCCTTCACCTCTTTTAACAGAAACAAAATCTTTCTTGCCAGATCAATTTATACTAATATCATCCCTTTGATAAAATTCTATAACCTTGGATTTAATTTCGTTAGTTAAGGGTCGTCCTTTTTTTCTTTCTGACATCGACAAAATCCCTTTATTTTCTTTCAAATGTTTTGACACTATTGCCATATGTTTTGTAGCACCCATTACGTCACAAATCATTTGTATGCTCCAATCAGAAGGCAATAGTGTCAAAATTTGTAATTTTTCAGTTCGATTAGTAGTTGGATCATCAAATTTAGTTTTAAGATTTTCTAGAATGTTCTGGTAATTAAGTGAATTCTCGTAATTGTTACATTCATTATCTAAACTCAATAGTCTCGCACAAGTAGAACAAATATCATTATATTTGCTACTTAAATAAGATGGATCGTTTACTGCATATTTATTCAACGGCGTTATATTTAATGAAAGCAAAGCTTGATTAATTACAGGTAATTGAGTACCAATATTCAACTCTAATGAAAAAAATTAAACCTGAAGAAAATAAGTTATGAGTGAATATTGACGCAGATGTCAGACAGCTCTCAGTCTCATTAGTGTCGGCACTTACACTTTCCAATTTTCGCTCGCTAGGCTGTGTGCCTATTATCGATATTTCGAAAGCTAGGTACTCTATTTGTGACTTTAAAAAATTACATTTCTTTAAATTTATAGTTAGACCAGCATTTCTAAAGGCATCAAATACTTCGCTCAACCGAGTCAGTCCTTCGTCTACAGTCATGCTAGGAATAATAATATCATCAAGATGAGCTATTACAATATCATAACGCATCGCGCCTAACACCGTTTTCATAAGGCACTGAAAGACTGCAGGAGCATTACACAAACCGAAAGGCATCCTTGTGAACTGGTAGTGCCCGTCCGGTGTCACAAAAGCCGTTTTGTCTCTCGAATCTCATTCTACTTCAATCTGGTAGTAACCACTAAAAAGATCTAAACTTGTGTAATACTTCTGTCCCTTCAGTCTATCTAATTGATCGTCGATACGGGGTAATGGATACCTATCTTTTACGGTAGCTTTGTTGACGCCGCGATAATCGATACGCATGCGTATCTCGCCGCTTTTCTTCCGAACCAACAGTACTGGACTAGCAAACAGCGACGTGCTATCCTCAACAATATTGGCTGCCTTTAACTCAATAGTCATATCCTTTAACTGCTCCCTTTCGTAGTATGACAATTGGTATGGTCGGTAAATTACGGGTTTATCTGAAACAAGCTCGATACGCATAGTTGTTCGATTCGCTTTGCCTACCTGCCTCAATGTTCGCGCTACTAGATCGCGGTTATCATTTAATACAACCAGTAGTTTCTCCGCTTCCTCGCCCGTGAGATCGGTGTTGACTTCCTCTGGTGTTACCACTTCCTCGTTGACCTCGTGCTGCGATGTTTCTTCCTCGCAGCCCTCTGCACGGGAGACGGTGTCTCCGGAGCTGATCGCCAACGTCTGTCCCGTCATGTTCAAGACAGGCAGAACTGTTTTTCCCTCTCCGTCCATGGCGACGACGCATCTCGGGATGGTTGAACCTCGTTCGCGAAGACCTCCTTCGATGAACAGCTCCTGGTTCGGGGCACCCCCCGCAATTGTAACGTGTGCCAAATAGTTATCTGGAATAACACACATTTTATCAGCATGGAGCACGTTCTTTTTCGCGTATTGTGCCTCGATCTGGAAGGGGTTGTCCTCTCTGTCCGTTATCCGCAGCTCCCCTATATATATAAATTTCGTGTAATCGTTTATCTTATGTGTTCCATCGTTATTTATTCCAGCCTGTACAAAGTTTCTTAAATAGAATAACATTTACTTGAAACGATTGTTAGGAATTTCGAGACAGCTCGCCTAAACATTGGCGCACGGACGACAGGGCGCGATGTTGCAACGCCAGGCCCCGTCATAAATAACGTCGAAGGCCCTTTAAGAGCCTTCATTGACAAGGCTACGCAAAGACTTTCCCAGGCCGGGAAAGTCACTTCTTGGCCAGCTATCGTCGTATACAGAGCTCCACGAATAAACTCTCATTGTTAAAGAATATTCGGCGTTTTATACCTTGCGTTTATTTAATCGTTTTACAAGTCAGAAGTGAGATATATCAGGTGCCCTTTTCGCGAACATTTGTGTGATCGCGAGTGACACTGTCGTGCAATTTTGACGTTTTCACGCAATTGTGCCAGTGTCAAATTACGGAATAGTGCAGTGACTGTGTTTGTGCCTGGTGTAAAGCGACAAACAATGGGTCGATCAGGTGAAAAATCACAGAAGCGTGCACAAGATTGTTCACGGGGACGTTCGCGCGAACGTGAACAATCAAGAGAGCGAGGATCGCGGAGTGAAGGAGTGCGCGATCATTCGCGAGATGATTCGCGAGGGCGACTCTCGTACGGATCGGAGGATCGTTCTCGGGAACGGAGTAAGTCCCCGAAATATGATCAAGATAGTTCGAGAGGTCGAAATGCTTCGCGGAGGCGAAAACGCGACGTGTCGCGAAATGATCGGCGACGATATTCGTGGGATGATTCGATGGACGGCGATCGGGAATCGTCACGGGAAGAGTGTCCCAGTGATCGAGTACGAAGTGTGGCGCGAAAAGTGTCGCGTGACCGCACGTGAAACGTCTCCAGCGAGAATTGGACAGTGTTCGGCATAGACCGTTGGGAGACGATTTCGCGGTTCCAAAGTTCGATCCGTCGCGAGATGACGCGGACATTGAACAGTGGGTGCATCAGGTCGACCGACTCGCGCGACGATATCTGTGGAGTGATGATTACACGGTCATCACCGTCGCGCGCGGGTTAAAAGGTCATGCTCGTCGTGTGTATGATGAGGAGATGCGTGACGATATGTCGTGGGCGGTGGTGAAACGCACCTTGATTCGGCGTTTTAAAAGACCGCTGCCATTCGCGCGTTTGCTGAAAGAAGCAGCGACGTACACGGCGAGTCCCGGGCCCAACTGGGAGATTATTGTTTTGAGAAACTCTTCACGACGATGCGGGGCACTTAGGACTAGAAAAGACTGCGGCGGAACTGCGATAATTGTTGATTCGCGAGATAAAATTGCGAGGCAGTAGAAAAGGCGCTACGATTAAGACCTTCAACCGAGCTATGACCCAAGAACCGAGCGCACGAATACCAAGCAGATAATAATCCATAGTTGTGAGGTTTGTTATGAATGTGGTGGCCTTTGATTACAGAGTAGAACCATCCATGCGTGTCGACGGATACGAGTTCGTCACCGAGAGGTAGATGGAAGGACGTGAGTTGCAGCAATGATGTCTAGCCGCTGGTGAATGGTCATGATTCTGCTGCTGGGTCAGTAGTGGACGCTGGTCATTACTGAACATCGATGATTTGCCTGCCATCGGGCTGGGAGTGACAGCTGGTTGCTCTCAGACGATGAAGAGACCGATATTACGGCAGTGGTGCTAATTTGATTACCACTGCGTGATTGTTCCGAATGGCTGGGTCAGTAGTGGACGCTGGTCACTACTGGATGCCGATGTGCCTATAGCTGTTGAGCTGAAGGTGATGTTTGGATGCAACCTGAGTACGTCGACGAATGTCTCGCGATGAGGCATGATTTTGAATCGTCGACAGTCAACGCAGTTATTAAGGAGGAAATTCCAGATAATTGCGGACCTTCCTGAAAAAAAGGGAAGTAGAAGGGCAAAACGGTGCTTGCAGCTGAACGGCTGAAACTTTGGGTTGCGGCCATTGAATAGGGAACTATGAGAAACTAAAATTTTTATGTTGATCAGTTCTCAGGTGATGGAAGGGGACCGGCTCGTGGCCATAGGTGGTCGGTGCCGTCGCCCACGGAACATGAGGTTAATGAGCAGAGCTGGAGGGCGAAGCCCGCTGAAGGGATCCAGACACCGACGTCCGAGTCACCAAACGATGGTAGGGACTGGCCACGACGAAGATTTGCGTACCATTCACGGGATAGTGATGTCTAGCCACTATCGAATGGGTCGAGATTTGGTAGTCATGACAATGGTGATGTCTAGCCACCGTTGTATGACAATATGTGTACCATTAAAGGGATAGTGGTGTGTAGCCACTATCGAGTGGTCCCATGTTATGCCGTCAGGCCGATAGTGATGTCTAGACGCTATCGGATGACGATGAAAGAGATATCACGGTAATGGTGTGGTGCACCATTACGTGATTGTATGGATTCAGCGTGAGGCCACGCAGAGTTGCTGTTGAGCAACAGAAGGACAAAATCATCAACGTCAACGGAGAACCAAGGATGTCGGCGAATATCTTGCGACGAGGCATCGTTTTGAGTCGTCGACAGCTGAACAGTGTTATCTACGTCGTCATGGAAAAGGAGAGAAAGGCCGAATAATCGTGGGCTTTCTTGGAAAAGGGGAGTATTGTTGTAGAGAGACCTTTTTGTTAATAAAAGAAAGGTCTATACAGAAGGTTTTTGGACAACTTTAATAAACCGGCGAGATACTTAGGCCAGTCTTTGATTTTTGTGTTACAGAAAACGACGTAAGCAAAGGCTAGCCAAGACGAGGAGGACATTGCATGAGGACAAGCGAAAATGCAGGCTGGCCGAGTGTTAGGAATTTCGAGACAGCTCGCCTAAACATTGGCGCATGGACGACAGGGCGCGATGCTGCAACGCTAGGCTCCGTCATAAATAACGTCGAAGGCCCTTTAAGAGCCTTCATTGACAAGGGTACGCAAAGACTTTCCCAGGCCGGGAAAGTCACTTCTTGGCCAGCTATCGTCGTATACAGAGCTCCACGAATAAAATCTCATTGTTAAAGAATATTCGGCGTTTTATACCTTGCGTTTATTTAATCGTCTTACACGATTATGTTAAAAAGCACCACCAAAAAGATTGTCAAAGGTATTGGACTCGAATGGTCAATATATAATTGAATCGAGTATTTGAATATTAACATAATATGTCCTTTTTTGCGTGAACAAAGAAATAAAATTATTTTCCGAACAACCCAATACAAATACTACAAATATTTTTATTTCGATGATTCGATCCCACAGTAGAGGATTTGTACAACTTTGAAAAAGAACATCTATTTCCTGTGTTCTTTTCTCTTTCGAGTATATTTTTGTAATTCTCGGACCCTCTAGAACTTTAGTTGAGGAACGACGGCAAGTGCAACGGTGCGCGCTGTTTCGACTCGACTCTGAGGCAGGAGGTTAACTGTATATGTAATAAGAAGTATGGTAAACTATATTTTAACTGAGTTACATTTCCTAACTGAATAATGCAGCAAGATACAAGGTAATTCTTCATATCGTTGTACAGTATAATGTAGCAAAATATAGTATAATAAAAAATATTCTTGGAAAATAAAGCATAATACTACTAAATACAGAGTATATAGTTTAATTTGAACCTTGAAAATCCTTGACGTCATATACATAAGTGATTAATTTGGCGTGAGGTAGACCGTGAACTATACCTATTACTTATA